AGGGGTAAAGGAGAGGCATATAAGGTGAAAAAAAGAAAAGAAAAATTGTGGGGTGTGCAAGGATAGTTTAAATTGATGCTCTTGATAAGGACCATTTATGCTAGTGTGTGGCATTCATGCCTTGAGTGATGCTTGTTTTCTCCTGTGCTGGTCAGACAGGTGCGGCAGTGCCGCCCTCTGCTAGTCAGCAATCTTTGAGTGCATGAACTATCATGAGCATCACGGTTATCATGTTACACCTTGCACCCCATGGATGCTAAGATATAGGGGAGTTCCCACACTTCATCTTAAATATGTGCATTTGGGGTTTGAGGCCAAAATTTGAATTCCTTCAATGCACACATTTAGGGGGAGCTCACTATATAATAGGATTCAAAATCTTAATGTCTATCAATCCCTTGTAAGCTTTAGTTGTGTTGTCATTAATCACCAAAAAGGGGGAGATTGTAAGTGCATCTAGCCCTTTAGTGGGTTTTGGTAAATTGAATGACAACATAATCAAAGGTCTAATAAGTTTGCTAAGTGTTGAACAGAAAATTAAGTCTATTGCATATACTTGTGGGTTGTGTATTAACAAGTACATACAAGGTTCAACTAGTAGGCAAACTTGATGATATGCCACATTATGTTAAAGTGAATGCCAAACTGTGTATTGTTGTATTGGAAGTTTATGAAAGCAGTCTAGTTCAAGCAAAAGACAACAATGCAAATGGAATCAATGAAATGGCCTCTATGTTGTGAGATATCATAGCATCATGTGAAAGCAAACATACTTGGTAAATGACAATGTATAGTGGATATAAGTCGGTCTCTACATTGGTTTGCTTACATGGATGAATATATGAAAGATCAATTAGAATGTCAAGCCAAAATAAGAAGGGAATAAGGAATCGTGAATTAGCTTGACCATATTGATGTTGATCCATGTATGTCTCTATGTGAGACAAACTGAAGCTTGATTGATCTCAACATTCATATCTAGAAAATATTCAAGTAATGATCAAAATATTGAAGAAATGTTTTCAATGGATGCTTAATATAATGTGACTTAAGTATGGCTTGATAGGGTGAAGATAGCAAGAAAAGGGCTTCGAGGTACTAAGCGAAGGTGAAGGGCAAGCGATGGCTTGGCGACCGAGGTACCATGGCTAAGGTGAAGAAGAGAGTACTTGCATTGAGTCGAGGTACTAATCAAGCTATGAGGAGTCATATTGTGTTGAGGATCAAATCATTAGTGGAAGTGACTTGAAGCCATGAAGGTGAACTCATATGTATGGAAATGGTTCAAGTCACATAATCAAGGTATAATGAAAATGAGGAAAACATATTCGATAATAGAAGTCTTCAATTACCAAATGAAGTGGCAATCAGCTCAAAGGCATTTACATTCTTTTATGCTTTGAATTTGAGTTTAGGAAAAGCCGTACTATAAAGAGGGATTCTAGTACAGTTGGTCAACTGTGCAACCAGATGCTCAAAACTACAGATCTATATCATCTTTCCCAGTCAAAGCAACCAGCCAAAAATCTCTATATTCTACCTGTTTTGGCTAGGGCGGCAGTGCCGCCCATAAACGACCGTTGGGACCCAAGAGGTATAAATACCATTTGGGCCGGCCCACAATGGACATCCTGCTTCTCCAACGGTTCAGTTCAAAACTGAACAGACCAAAGCTCACCTCTCTCTCCTCCATTGTTGCTCCTTCATCCCTCAAGCAAATCCTTGATTCCAACCATCAAAACTTGACAGAAAAGGTAGCAAAACTCGATTGGAGAGAAGATCCACTGATTCCCAAAGTCTAAGAGCATTTGGTTCACGTTTGGCCGGCGGTTCTAGGGTTTGTTACTCTGAGAGCTTGCTCCTAGATGGCTAGGCGTCGCCCTTGTGCTTGCCAACTCGTGTGGCAGCCTTAGAAGGTTTGTAACCTCATTCTGCAGCTAAGAAATTACCCCTCACTTCAAGAGTTCATTCTCTTGATTTGAGAATGAGGGCAAGGCAAGCCTTGGTGGCGAGCCAATCCTTTTGTGGATGCCTCAACAACGTGGACTTAGGCAAGCCTTGGTGGCGAGCTGAACCACGGGATAAATTTTGTGTCTCGCATGCTTCACTTTGTGTTCTTACTGGTTCAGCTCTTTGCTAGCTGTTGTTAGGGTTTGGTAGCTCGATCCTCTCTTGTGTGAGATTTCTATGGTATCCAGTCTTCGAACTGGATTTTGTCTTTCTGTTGCAGGATTGAGCAACTGAGAGGGTCAGGTTACTATCTATGAAATCTCAATGCTGTATGCTTTATTTTTGAAGAGCGGCAGTGCCGCCCTCTGTTCTAACAGAGTTTCGAGTTGAATTTTTATAGAGGCCTATTCATCCCCCCTCTAGGCCTCCTAGGCAACATCAAGGTCCTTTCAATGTAGTGACTGCAATCATCCACGAGCAGGAGGAAGTATCGCTGACCACCATTTGTAGCTGGCGTGATCGGCCCATAGAGGTCGCCGTGGATGAGCTCAAGAGCGTCCTTCGCGTGATACTTGGCCACCTTTAGGAATGGTAGCCTCCTTTGCTTCCCGGCCAGGTAGTTGTCACACAGCTCGCCTCCGTGCTTGATGTGGGGTAGCCCTCGGGCCATCTTCTCCAGCCGACCAAGCGCGTCGAAGCTGAGATGTCTGAACCGGGCATGCCACAGCCACAGTTCCTCGGTGTGCCTTGCCGCCAGGCACACCGACTGCTCTACCTTTAGGTCGAGCAGGTACAATCAGTTCAGGAACCTCTTCACCTTGGCGAGAAGTCGCTGCTCCCAGTCCCTGATCCTAAAGACTCCATCCTTGATCAGTACCTCGCTACCGCGCTCATCCAGCTGACCAATGCTGATGATGCTAGAACGTAGCTGTGGGATGTAATATACATCTGTTAGCGCGCGGTGCTCCCCGTTCTGGCACCTAAAGATGATGGTGTCGCGCCCTTGGATTGCCACCCTTGAGCCATCACCAAACTTCACCGTACCGATAACATCGTCATCGAGCTCAGAGAATGATGCATTGGAGCCCATCATGTGGTTGTTGGCACCAGAGTCCAGGTACCACCGCTGCTCCTGGTCAGTGCCTACACGTCCAAGGTGGACTTGGGTGCGTGGTTCATCAAGGTTGACAGCCTTCAGGGCCTTCCCAGGTCCTTCCACCGTCATCGCCTCTTCCTTCTCCTCGGCCTCGATGTCGTGCAGTGCACAGAACGTCGCCATCAGGATAGTGGCCTCATCATCATCATCAGCTTGCGCCAGATGAGCCTCAGCCTTCTTCTCCTACTTGCGATTTGGGCACTCTCGTGCCCAATGGCCCCTCTTCTCGTAGCACCGACAGACGTTGGGCTCGACCTGCTTCTTCTTCACCGAAGAAGCCTTGCCACGGCATTTGCCATCGCCACCGTGGCTGGATGAGGCTACCCCAGAGTTCCTCCGAGTAGCCCACTCCTCCTCTGTCAGCAGCAGTTTGCCGCTGTCCTTCGCTACTGTCGCCTGCTCTAGGCGCTCATCCACCGCCCGTAGACGCCATGTCACATCCTTAATGGTGAGGGTGGACAAGTCCAGCATCGTATCTATATAGAGAGCGATCTGGATGTACTTTGTTGGCACAGAGTGGAGGTACTTGGAGACCGTCTCCTCTTCGTCGATGGTGACGCCATGGCTCTTCAGCTTGTTGATGAGCATCTGCAGGCAGAGGGAGAAATACTCCACCATTTCACCATCCTTGAACTTGAGGTTGGCGTACTCCTGCTTCAGAAGCTGAGCCGTCGCCTTCTTTGCGTGGTTGGAACGGACGCGCATCGCCGCAATAGCCTCCCACGCCTCCTTAGCAGAGCTCTTCGCCCCCAACGGCCCCCTATACTCCGCCGGTACAGCAGCGAGGATAGCCTTCAACGCTGACATGCCATCTTCCTCATTTTCGGTGCCCTTGTCAACAACATTCCAGAGTTGTCGGGCTATGAGCTTGACTTTCATGGTCACCGACCACTCTCCATAGTTGGTGCGAGTCAGCGTCGGCCAACTGGTGCCGCTGACCTCCCGCACCGTGCGAACAACGACCTCCGGTTGTGGTTGGGCAGCCACAGTAGTGCCACTGCTGTCGCCTATTTCTGAACCGTTCGTCATCGCCAGCGGTTAGTCCGGCGATGGCGTTTGCTCGCTCTGATACCACTTGTTAGCCTACTAGGATCACCGGCTCAGGTGAGTCGACCACTCACCAGTCTTGCCAACCACGACCGAGCACGATAGAGGCTGTCCGACCACACACACTATGGCTAGAGGTAGAAGAAGAGGGAGAACAGAGCATATACACACAGTACAAGCACCAGCGTTGGCCGGAGCCCTGTATAGGAGATGGCAAAACTGAACTCTCTTTGTTGAGTTGCAGTGGCAAACTATATATATAACTCTATCCATCTAGTCCTAGTATAACTCCCATGCAGCTACAGTGACTAGATAACATAGTAGGACTGACTTCTACGCCTGTCCCTGCATGTGGCTACAGTACGGCAGGTGAGCCGTTCAACGCCTGCCTCTATAGCGGCTACAGTACCACAGCATGGGGCCTTTTCGGCGTCGCCTTCCCTTACTGTGTGTTCACACAAGGAAGCAATAGATTATCTAACAGCTACGGCATCAACAACGCGGCGCTGAGCACGGCGTTCTTCAACGACGACGCGTCGTGCGGACAGTGCTACGTCATCATGTACGACAGCAGCAAGACCGGGTGGTGCAAGCTCGGCAACAACTGGGTCGTCGTCTCCGCCACCAACTTCTGCCCGCCCAACTAGGACCTCCCCACCGGCGGGGAGCTCCCTGTCGGAGGCTGGTGCGGCCCGCCCCGCCCCGCCCCCGCTTCGACGTGTCCCAGCCCGCCTGGGAGAACATCGGCATCTATAGCACCGGCATCATCCCCATCCTCTACCAGCGGGTCAAATGCTGGAAGAGCAGCGGCGTGCGATTCACCATCGCCGGCTTCAACGGCTTCTACATGGTGCTCATCACCAACGTCGCCGACAGCGGCTCCATCCAGAGCATGGCGATGAAGGGCAGCAACACGGACTGGATCCCCATGTACAGGAACTGGGGCGCCAACTGGCACTGCCTCTCCGGTGGGCTCGTTGGCCAGGGCCTCAGCTTTGCGCTCGTCTCCACCGGCGGCCAGAACCTCGTCTTCAAGGACGTCGTGCCAGAGTGGTGGCAGTTCGGACAAACCTTCACCACCTACCAAAATTTCGATTACTAATAAGCAATATATAGACATTGTTTTATTCATTCATTCCACAACAGTGCAAGTTAATTTATCCAATATATCCTCCAAGACTAGAGAATTAAGCGTGTGCTGATTATATATATATGGCTTCATGTCATTTGTAGTTTGGAAATCACTTTATATTATTATATACAACCGCCAACTGATCATTTAGAGTATATATATGTTGTACCTTGTAAGTTGTAAGTAAAGTACTTGATTATAGTTCTGTGTTTGTCATTGATTTGATTAGCGGATTTGAAATTGCCACCCACGAATTATTCTTTGTTTTATCATTAAATTTTTCGACCCATGAAAGCTGCATTAATCTAGAGTTTCAATGCATGCCCAAATGACTGTTTTTCAAATAATCCGAGCTCTCTTCCCTTAGATAGTTATATTATATTGGACAAATGAAATCAAATGGCGATGAATGTGTGTGTTTTGAATGGGAGCTAGCGCTGATAAGAAGATTCTTGTTGAGAGATTGATCTATATCATCCAGAGTACTAGTGTGCTTCTCTTCTAACCGTCAAGATGACACAAGCAAACTAGAGTGGGCAAATGATCACAATGGATCCTGAAGCATTGCTGGTAGCAGTGTCTTTAATCATTAAGGTAACAAAAGGTTATACCAGGTGAGGAGGATGTCTTTGAAAGGTTCAAGCCCAGAACCAAGTGAGGAAAGGGTGAATCAATCCAGCTTGAGCACTTCCTTCAAGATGGGGAAGAAAGGAATGAGGAAGAAGGGAGGTGAAGAAAGAGGAGGAAGATGCAAGTGACTCCTTACATTCTATGTTGCATCCTCCAAGGAAGCCAGGTGTGGCAACAACCAGCTTGAGAAGACAAAACAGTAGGAAGAAAGAAAGGAGAGAGCCAAAACGACACTGGAGATGGGTCCCACTCCCTCGCCACTAATTGTCCACTTGGGAACCACAAGGTGTGGCTCAAAGTTGAGTTGGAGGGCTATTTTACGACACATTGGTAAGGAGTTGTTGGACTTAGAATCTTCACCTTTACTCCAAAACTAATTTTAGGGAACAATTTTACCAAATCTTTGGAGATGCTCTCAACACGTCACGAGCTTCTTCCAATGAATAGGGGTAAATTTTGCATGCATGCGTGCATGGCCACTGGTTTTCAAAAACAAATAGAAACCAGAGGAAGAGAAACGGACCGCGTGGTCCAGGCTGTAGCTTTCCCATCAGTGAGCCAATTTACGGCGGGCCTAGCCCCTATCATGATTGGGCCAATGGGCCGTCACCCACAGCAGATTCAGCATCCAGCCAGTTCTAGTAGCCCTTCTAGAACTCTCTCCTTTCGTGTTCCTTCCACTCCACCGTTGCTCGACACGGCCACACGGGATTTTTCCCCTCCCCACCCACCTCCCCGCCCCGCCCCGTCTCGCCGCGTCGCCTCCCCCTCTCCCGATCGGAGCCTTGCTCGCATCCGCCATTCCCAGACCTCGAGAGCTACCGTCTGGTCCGGTCCGATCCGACAGATCCCTTCGCACGCCGCGCGTCCCCCGCGATTTCAGGTCTGGTGCTTTGATTATTTCCCCCGGCCCCGCCTATGCGATTTGCGCCCCATTATTTTCGGTCTGGGGTTTCGGTTTTGGCTGCTTGTTCGTGCAAGTCTCAGTGATCTGCGCAACGTTTTTTAAGTAAGGCATCATCCGTTTCGAGTCCGGTGTTGGATCCATTTTGATTTTGTTTTCCGGTTAGGAAAACTAATTGTGTACGGCAAGTGCTGTCCTGCGGGAAGAAGAGGTTGATCATGATACTCCTACTCCCTTGTCGTCTGATGCCTGAGGCACATGCTGTGATTTGCTATGATGTTTGAGTGGTGACACTGGTAGTAGACTAGTAGTACATGTCGGATGAATTACTGTATTTATGCTTGGTCGTAGGGTGTCCGACGATGGTGTTGAATGCGTGGGAAATTAGTGTCTCACTTCTGCATTTCACTGGCACTGGATTGACGAGGGAGGAATAGTTTCGCCTGTTCAGCTTAGCTGGTGTATTGGTATTTTGGTGGTGGGGAAGAAAGCCTATGTAATTGATCATTAAACATTGATGAACAGTACCGAAATTACTGTGTAGACAATGCAAATTAGTTGGGCAGGGGGGGCCATGGCCCAGCTTGCTTTTATTAATCTCCGCCTCTGGCAGTAGGTCTCCTTCCTCGAAATGGATAACTGTCGGCTTCTTTCATCATTGGTTTACTGCAGATATGATATTGTAGAATTAACGTTATTGCTGTCAATGAGTTTTGGACGTCATGTTTGATCATCTAATTTATGGAGGTTTGGTCTTGGGACAAAGAGTGTCTGGACTCCACTTGATTGTGTGATGTTGCAGTTTCAGTTATCACATTATGGTTTGCTGTATATTTACCTATGGACCATGCTGCCACTTGTTCATGTGAATTGATGATTTTTGAACTGGAGCTCAGGCTGGAGTTATGTGACTGTATCTTACTATCTACACGACACAATCATTTAATACCTTTTGCCTGTATTTTGAACCAGGTAAGGTGTTGTAACAGAAGATGCAAGGGGGAAGAGGTGGAAGGCAGGGCTCGTTCGGGTTCGGGGACCCTTTTGTTGGTTTCGGCAGCTTTGGACAGCCAGGGAGCCTTATGCCCGGTTTCTTTGGTGGCGCAAATCCCTTTGACGACCCTTTCTTCACAAACCCCTTTGGTAGCATGATGCAACCTAGTTTCCCAACCCCTTTCAGCAGCATGATGCAACCTAGCTTCATGAACCCCTTTGGTAGCATGATGCAACCTAGCTTGCTTGGGCCAAATATGTTTGCGCCCTATGGCGATCTCAATGGAGGCATGCTTGGAAGCCAGGCACATCTCAGTCAAGGCATGAGCAATGCCAGTGGTTTCATTCAGCAGGCCCCTGAACCAAGCAGACCTAAAGGGCCAATTATCAAGGAGTTGTCTTCAGATGACGAGGATGGTGCAGACGATGATAAAGAAGATGAGAAGAAGAATGGTAACTTTAGGAAGCATCCAAGGGAAAGCAAAGAGCCGTATGTGGAGGACCTGGATGAAGAAGTAGAAGGTCAGTTCATTTACCTTCTTGGGCATGTTACTGTTCCCTGTTCAAATTTGCATTAAGCAATCATTTGAATTTACATTGCCTGATCCTGTCTTGTGCCTTATACCACATTTCTGTCCTTTCTGAAATATTTTCTGGCAATTCTTGGGGACATTCAGTAAATAAACATTTTTTGGATTCAGCAAATATACATGGACCTCATACAATGTAAATAACTAATCAACTTCATCGATCGTCAGAAAACCTATTGTACCACATAGTTTCAATATGATCTCATCTCATCTCATGGTATTGCTAGGCAGCCTACTCAATTGATATTCAGCCTTTTAGGTGACAGGTTATCATTGAACTGCTATTTTATTCTGTTTAGCAGAGTATCTTTTTAAAATATTCCCTTAGTTTGTGTTGTAAAGAATTGACATTACAAGTGGAAGCTACTAATGCATACACATTTTTTAGCAGATAATAAAAGACCTAAGCATGGACAATTTGGGAGGGAGTTCAGCAGAGCTAGCACATCACGTCCACAGCCTCAGACATTTATGTTTCAGAGTTCAACTGTTACATATGGTGGTCCAAATGGAGCCTGTTATACATCTTCAACGACTACGAGGACTGGTGCAGATGGAGTAAGTATATCTCATGAGTGCTGTTTTCTTCATCTGTATATTTGTTGGGTCCAAAGTTATAGTGTTAATTATTTGTTAATGCGTTAGATTACACTGGAAGAAAGTAAGGAGGCTGACACAACTACTGGTAAAGCATCTCACAGGATTTCACGTGGCATTGGCAGTAAGGTATTATTGATATTCCTCACAGATCTCTTGCTTTCTCTCATCCAATCGCACTGATGTTGTGATTGGAGCTACTTACTATCTGTTGTTGGCACGTTGCAGGGTCACTCACTAGCAAGAAATCTTAATTCTGATGGACGTGTGAACACCCTTCAAACTTTACACAACTTGAATGAAGGTTTAGTGTTTTTTTTTTTGGTGCCTTATTGTTTTCCTTTCAAACTGATTCTGATGCCATTTTCCCTTTTCCATTCAGATGAGCTTGCTGGGTTTGAGGAATCGTGGCAAAGAAATGCCAGGGAGAATATGCCTGGCTGGGATCCTAGGATGAACATGCTTGGCAACGGTATAGCCTACAGCGCCCCCACCCTCTATTTCTCTCGCACGTGCACTCAAACATTTCTTTTTTGCCTGATCATATTAGAAGAGAAGGACGGTATAGAGGCAAATTTCTTTTTGCGAAATCAAGGGTTTGACCATAATGTTTGTTTCTTTGTACTAGCGATGGTTTCTTGAGTTCTTTACACAACTGCTTCGCAACAGTAATCCAATCCCCTAGAGCAATGGCAACTACTGTAGATGGGGTATGAATATTGACTTATATATAGTGGTTTAGATATCCTGTGATAATGGTAATAGTTCTGAAGTGTTTTTTTGAAAAGTAAAGGTAGGAGCTCTGCCGCTCAATTAAGAAGGATAAAGAGTTTTATGTACAATGGCACCCACGGTGCCTAAGAACACCGGTCATAGGACCAAGAAATAGCATCCACCACTCACGCACGTGTTTTACCCCGCAATACACACCGGTCATTGGAATAGTGTCCTCTTTGGCTAGATAGGCGACTTGCTCTGCCGCTTGGTGCTCATTTTTGAAAATCCTCCTATTCCTTTCCTTCCATATGTTCCACACAATGTAAATAAGCACTCCGTTAAACGTTCGGCATTCTTGCTTCGGTAATAATCACTTACGAAGTTCTGTTGTAGATAAGACCTTTGGATTTTGACAAAAAAATAAATATTACGGGTATTAAGCAGAACCACAGAACATTGGGGAATGGATCGCTTTGTATGTATGGCTGCATGTACCCACCCCTAGGCATGCATTTAACAAACAAATCTACAGCGTATAT